TTTAAATGGTTCATACTTGGAAGTGGAAGAAGGTAAAGATAACTCAACCCGTTCTCATACAGCCCCCTCTGAAAAGCACTTGGCCTCGCCAGTTCACCTCACGCCGGTAACCTCCACATACCACTCTAATGGATCTGTTTCCTCTGTGCCCACCCTCCTACCCCTCGATGTTATGTATTCATCCCCACCGCATCGTGACTCTATCTATCACCTTAAAATGTTTTCTTTATAGGGGTCATATGATGCGGTTTCAATTTTTCCTTTTCTCTTTGGAGTGTTACAAGCTCTTGGTGCATAAAGAAAATCAGTAAAGTTGCAAAGACTAAAGTCTCAAATCCAAAGAGATATTCTTTATAAAAGTTAAGAGTCAGCCACACCTACCTAAAACGGCTCGTTCTAATGTCCCCACATGTCCGATGAGCTTTGTAAAAATCGACGCGTTTCAGAAAGGCGGGGCATAGAGAAACAATAATGTACAGTATGTGGAAAATGTGTTTTTTGAACCTTAAACCGCATAAACACATTTCATTACACCAAATACACCAAATAATGTTATTTTTAGCAGCATCATATGACCCCTTTAAACAATCCTTAATTTAATTAATGTATTTGTATAGTGCTTTTCACACTATATATTCAAAGCCGCTTTTAAAAAAATGAAGTTTAATTTAATGTATGTTTAAGTCACGTGCATTCAAGTGAATTCAATGCACAAAATATATAGTACTTTTCATTTGGTTACATCCCTTGATAAGTCATTAAATCAATATTTTAGAGAAAAGTATATAAAACCTATATGAACACAAACATTGTACACTTTTTTAGATCGTAGCACACGCGTTTCAAACCATTTCTTTTATTATTATTATTATTATTATTATTATTTAAGATTTCCTCATTCTATAATCTCGGACGTCCTTATTTGTTACTGCCACATAACCAGAGCCCCAGAACCCCCCAAACTGCTTTCTCTTTCTGTGCCTTTCCAATCAGCAGCACAAACTTGTGTTCTCTGTCTATTTTATCGGGTGACCCGGTTTCCCTGGCTCTGTCGGTTGCGGTTACCTCACTCTGCTGCGCAGCTATTGGTTCAGCAGGCGCACACTCCGACTTTTGCTATTCGAGTCATATTGAGCTGCGGTGACGTAAGCGAACGGGCGCGCAGAAATTTTCCAGACGCGGACAGAGGAGCGAGCTCGTGTAGACCCGAAACGGTCCAACCCAGAGAGAGCATAAAAGCACGTATTTCAAGTAGTCGTTTGCATGGCACTCGTTTGGTTCTCGCGCTCAGTATCGGACCCAGTGGAGCTGTTCCGCGTTTATCGGTAGTGTCACCGAACTGTGCCCACGCTCACGGAACCGTTGACCCATGTGATACTGCAGCGTTGAGAGCGCGGAAGGGAGGGGGGAGAGAGACCTTTTTTCCCCTGCATCTCCACTCGGTAGACTGGAGAAGCAGGTGCATACTTTGGAGAGAGAGAGAGAGAGAGAGAGAGAGAGAGAGAGAGAGCGCTG